GAAAGAAAAATGAACCAAAATAAGAGAAACAGTTAAAATCCATTTGAGGTCCCAGCAACTTGAACTACATACATTTAAGAACATGTTCAGAGTAATTTCAGGATCATCAGCTATCATTTTCTAGATTTTTTGAAGGGTAAATGATTTGACCGAAGCAGGAATGGAACAACTTGGTTTCTTTTTCTAAATGGAAAAAGGAGTGACCCTGAAAAACCCTGGGCTTCTAAGTTTAACTTCGCTACATAGGAAGTTAGGGGGAAAAGACCGAGGAAATAATCACAAAATCTATTGTCAAGCCTTGAAAAGAACGGGGCACTGAGTAATAACAAGGATGGCTTTCCAAAGAAAACGTGCTTTCCTACCGTTTTAGATTTGAAAAGGATCTTAGAATCACATGATCCAGGCAGCTTATTTTAAAGATAAGAAAACTGATGTACAAAGAGATTTTTGTCCTCAAGGTCATATAGCTCGTTGGCAGCAAATATAGGCAAAGATCCAGTCTCTTGGGCCATTCACTGTCCTCACCATCCTGAAGCAGCTGTGGGTTCTGACGACTTCCACTGGTAGCCTCAGCTGCACCTAGGTCTTGAGCTAGTCTGATGAGGACAGGCCACATATTGGGAGTCCCTGGGTGCATCATGGCGAGGTCAGCTGAGGCCTGGCATCCAAAGAACTCATCACTAGCCTTATGCCATATGCCACAACAGCCATCCAGACTCTTTTGGTTATCTGGGACAGAGGTGGCAGAGAGGCAGCTGGCTGTCCTGGGAAAGGCGGCATCTAACTGTGCTGACTTTAACAAGACTGTTCACTCTGTTTGTATAATTGGCTCATCAGTACCCCAGGGAAAAATCACCTAAAGTGTACGTTCATTCAGCCCAAAAAAGTAAGTGCTTACTATGCCCAAGGAGGCACTGTAGTGAACAATGTGGAGCTTCAATTGGAAATAGATTTTTTTATCCCCAAATGCTCAGTGGGTACATGGCTTATCAGACTGAGGCAGGAGAATAGGGTCTGGAGCCAGGGAAACTAAGACCATTTCCCACTGACTTCCTGGAACTAAATTGAAAGGAAAACCCTAATTTTCCATGTCTAAGTAACATAAGGACCAGAGGCCACTCCCTTTGCAAACCCCCACCTTTTCTGTGTGGCAGATGGGAAATTGAAAGTACTTCTGATTGGTTGCTTTTTGCAAGCAATCAGATGTTTGCATAGGAGTGTAACTTTATAACTTTACTTCTGCCTCTGATTGGTTGGGGAAAGCAACCAATTGTGAGCCAAGTCTTCCTTTGCATAGAAGTGCAACTTTGTAACTTCACTTTAGCCTCTGATTGTTTGCTTTCCACAACTAATAAGACTGCTTGGCACCACTTCATTTACATGGGGTGAACATCAAATGGCCAATGGAAGACGTCTAAGAGGGTATTTAGACCTGAGAAGATTCTGTATCCTGGACCCTTGAATGACTGCTCGGCCTGCTCCCACCCTGTGGAGTGTACTTTCATTTTCAATCTCTGCTTTTGTTGCTTCATTCTTTCCCTGCTTTGTTTATGCATTTTGTTCAAAACACCAAGAACCTGGACACCCTCTATGGGTAACAAGATGATTGTACATTGTTGTGTCATCAAATGGGCACTCCAGATTCATGGAACAGCATGAGTGTGTTCCATGCTTAGCATAGCACTTAGCATAGCCTTGGTAAACAGTGTACAACACAAAGAAAGTTACAGCCCTTCAAGGCTCATACCTTCAGTTTTCAGGTGTGGAAATTATAGTGCAGAGAGGCGAAACAGCTTGCATAAAGTAACAGCTCTTTGGTGAAGAGCTTGGACTGCACTCTGATGTTCTGGCTCATAACTCAGATTTTTCTACTTGACTGCATACTATGAAGACAGATCATATTAATATAAATTAAAGGCCTTCATATTACTTTCAAAGGGAAAGGAGAAAACGTTTGGAATATGTGTGTTGGTCTCTCTGTTCTGTGAATAACAGGAGTTCTTCATAGCAAACACAATATCTCAACCAGCACATTGGAATCACCCAGGAACCCTAAGATAACACCGATGCAAGGAATCCACCAAACAGATTTGAATTCAATTATTTTGGGGACAGCCTGAGCACCAGGGGTTTTAAAAGATTCCAGATGATTCTCATGTACAGTCAAAGTCGAGAGCCACTACTCTGCAGGAATTACCTTGAGTGTGTTTTGGCTTAATAGTGCCAGAGAGCTTCAGAGATTCTGGCAATGAGGCATCTTGCAAGGACAGCATAGATTGTGATAAGAAATGAAATTCCAAATCCTCTGGTTTCTCTCTCTCAAAGAATTTCTGGGCAAGGAGAAGGGAAGGCCAACCAAGGGGCCTCTATTTCCTTCCCTGCTTCTGTGTGTCGCTACCTCCTTAAGGGTCTTTTTTTTTTTTCTCTCTCAAGGCTCAGATCAAATTGTAGCCCTAAACCCCATTCCTTGGTTCCTGTTTGTGAGGCTGATAAAAGCTCTGACTTCCTCACATGCATTGTAAATATTACTGAAAATAAGAGGCTAGAAGCACAGAGAGTATCTGGTATATGATATCCTGGCTTGCAAAGTACAATATTCAGAGTCTACCATAGCTAGCTTGCTCTCTGAGATGTACAGACTCGGTTCCAGCTGTGAGTCTAGGAAAGAGGCCTCTTCCAAGGAAGCCTCCTCTCCATTCCCTTTTAATGTTTTGTCACTTCTTCCCAATTGAGGTCGAGCTCTATGTGCGGCTCTCCAGTAGAGCTTTCTGAGATGACAGAAATGTGCTATATCTGCTCTGTCCGATGCGGTAGTCGCCGGTCAATGCCAGCTGCATGTGGTGACTGAGCACTTGAAGTATGACTGGTGCAACTGATGAACTCAATTCTTATTTTATTTTAATTAAATTTAAATAGCCACATGTGGCTAGTGGTCAACATGTTGGGCAACAACACGACCATGCTGTCTAAAACATGCAATTATGTACTAGCTTACAAGAGCATTCATGTAGAAATAAATTTTGCAGTACAGAAATGAGAAAAAAGATAGGGCTCTTTAGTGGAGTTTTATCAGAAAGAAGGGCAGCGAAATATAGTTGTGACCTCAATACAAGCTAGATAAAAGCCAGGTAAAAGTTAAAATGCAATGCTAGCTTCATCATTGACAAAAACCTCTCACAAATCAACAATTTAATTGAACCTAGGGAGCAAATTCAAGGAGAAATGCTGCAACAACCATCTTTTTCAACTGTTCCCAGGACTTCCTGATTTCTTTTGTATCAAATTACTCTGACCATCACATTCCTCTTATATTAGCACTTCCTGGTTCCGTAAGGACTAGAAATAGACATTCGGGATCCCCAAAAACAAACAAAGCAAAACACCAAGATTTTGTTTTTAGTAACTTAACCTTCTGAACCTCCTGTAGTGTTCATTCAAATGTGTGACAAGGGATGGAGTTAAATTCTCTGATAATCTGAAAGACAAGGGAAGCAGTATTTAATTCAGAGAGTTACAAAGAAAAAGATTATTTTAGATCTGCAATTAGCATCTGAACCTATTTAAGCCTCTAACAGTTGCCTTGGCCTGAATTGACTTGTTCCCAGTATTCCATTGCCTTCCCTATGTTTCCCTCTGATAATCCTCAGAGAGTTTTGCCTGCCTTCTTCTCAGACTGGACCCTAGGCAGTGTGCAAAGTTCACAGCCTCTGGACTCAGATTGCCTGAAGCTGAAAACTCACTCCACCAATAACTGTGCCATCTTAGGCAAAGTACTTAACTTCTCTGGCTGCATTTACCTCACATACTAATGGGGTTGTTAATAATTTCACGCATAAAGTTGTTTGGTAAAGAAATGAATTAGCCATGTGCAGTGGTACGTGCCTGCAGTCCTAGCTACTCTGGAGGCTGAGGTGAGAGGATTGCTTGAACCCATGAGTTCAAGGCTGCAGTGAGCCATGATTAGCCACTGCACTCCAGCCTGGGTGACAGAGCAAGACCCTGTCTCTAAAAAAAATAAATAAGAAAGAAATGAATTAAAGTTTGTTAAATGTGTAGTACATACGCGTTTTTTAATACACATGTACACTATTGCTATTAGTGAAATTAAATTTTTAGTCAGAGAGCCTGAATTCCTGTTCGGCAACCTACTAGTTGTATGCTCTTGGTCTAGTTACTTCTCTTCCCTGACTTGCAGTTTATACTCATTAAAAAATAAGACTATCATAATCATTCTCGAAGAGTTGCTGTGGAGATTGAATGAGAGTATCTGCAAAAGTGACATTAGATGAAATTCTATCTGCAGAACCAACCCAATCTGGTTCAACTTCGTGTAATAAAAGTGGTGAGTTGTATTTCAGTTGCCATGAACCTCAGGTTGCAAGTTACATGATATGAGCATGCCCAGACAAACCAAGTGTGCAACCACAGACAGAATCTAAGTGCTTGGACTGAGGAACAGGGACAGAATTAAGAAGGATCCAATCAGATCAAGCTCTGAAGTCACCCCATAGCAGGATCCAGTCAGATCATGACTCCCAGCATCACCTCATTGCAAGATCCAGTCAAATCATGCCTCATTACCCTCTGACTATAAAGTGCCCCAAACCCAGCTTTGGGAGACAGATTTGATCCTGATTCCTGTCTCTTTGCCTGGCTGCCTAGTGATAAACCTTTCTTGTTGCAAAAATCTGGTTCTTTGGTATTTGGCTTTCTGTTGCATGAGGGTAAATGGACCCAGTTTGGTTCAGAAACAAAAGTTCCTACCTTAAAAAGTTATGCTCCTGTATCCCCAGGGAAATGTCTACTGGGCGCTCAAGGAGCTTCAGGAGTATCAAGGCCTATGGTCTAACCCTCCACTTTGCAGACTCAGAAATCTGAGTGGTCAGCATGTGCATTAGTTTGTTCTCATGCTGCTAATAAAGACATACCTGACACTGGGTAATTTATAAAGGAAAGAGGCTTCACTGACTCACAGTTCAGCATGGCTGCGGAGGCCTCAAGAAACTTACAATCATGGCAGAAGAGGCAGCAAACACGTCCTTCTTCACATGGCAGCAGCAATGAGAAGTGCAGAGCAAAGGATGAGAAGCCCCTTATAAAACCATCAGATCTCTTGAGAACTCACTCACTATCATGAGAACAGTAGCATGGGGGTAACCACCTGCATGATTCTATTACCTCCCACTGGGTCCCTCCCATGACATGTAGGGATTATGGGAACTACAACTCAAGATGAGATTTGGGTGGTGATGCAGCCAGACCATATCAGCATGTGAGAATACACCCATCATGCAGGAGTGGACAGGCTTCAACGAAGCCATGAGACTGAAGAATGCAAGCTAAATGCCCATTTGCTCATTTTTCATGAGAAATATGCCACTATCTCAGGCAAAGGAGGTCAACCAGCAGAGTCTCGCTTTGTAGCCATTACAAATCATGTCAGATGTGAATCAGAGGCTTCTTTAAGAATGAGTACAAAGACAAAGGGGTTGGTTATGTAGTCCTGACATTTCATGGAACTGGGAGATAATCCCTGATGTGTCCCTCTGCAAAGAATGCCAAGCAAGGGGATCAAATTGGTTCCATTCTCAGGCCTGAGCACTGTCTCTCTTGTTCAGTGTATAAATAGTGCTATCAAAAATCTTGCACCATCCCTTTTCTGTTTCTGGAGTCCTGCACCAATTGCTGACCAGGGTATTCCTTCCATAGACACACAAATGCCCTTTTGGCATTTTTCTGGTCCTGCTGACCAGGAAGTCTTTTAGTGCCTTTTCACTTACCTCCATGAGCATCCATTAGATGTCGAAGTCATCATTTGAAGCTCAAAGAGTAATCTTTTGTTCTGGTTCCTAAGTCCATGTAACAAAAGGCAAAATATATATGTTATTGCTTTTATGTAACTAGTGATTTAAGGTTATAGTTACCTAATAAAATAGTTTAAAACAGTTTCTCCCCCAGGTTGCATTTGTTTGTTCACTTTGTGTGCTGGATGTCTTCTCTTTGACCCTCTGAATCCACCCTCACCACTCTCTATCCTCCCTCCTGCCTCAGAAGGTGGATGTCTATGGATTCCATCAATGGACTCCCCTACTCTTGGCTTCCAGTTGGGTTTATCCAGGTAATAGACTTGGCAGCAGATAAACGGGAGAGGAGACAGTACCTTCAGGTTATTTATTCTCTTTGGATCCCTTTCTGAGAGACTGCCTTGGGCTATTTGTGCTGCTCAACCAAATGTCACTGCTCGTCTTCAGAAGGTCCCCTTTATGAGACTCTAAAGAACTCCAGACACCACTCCCTTGTCCCTTCAGCCTTAGTCATGGTGACTATTCCACTGCTATTAACCTCAGATTACTGTAGCATCCTTTGTGCTTCCCACATTTTCATAAAGAGTCTCTTTGTAAATAGCCCTTCCTCGATACCTCCTAAATTGTGTGAGCCATCTGCTCCTTGTTGGTATCCTTGATGATACATTTTGTTTTGGGTTTTAATGTTTGTGATCATCTATGTAGATATATGTACTGTTAACATTTTGAATGAATGAATGCTGTGTGAATGAGCTCATGGCAGAAATACTGATGGCATGGGAAGCATGAACTCTGGGCTCCCTAGATCAACTCAGATGACACCATCCACTACCCAGAATCTCTACCCACAGCCTAGTGCCCCTGTCTTCTGCATGACCCAGCAGTGGCTGCCTGGTGAGGAAGTAGCAGGGATGTTGGGGGAAAGGTTCATCAATGTGTGAGGCCCTTTTACTGTCCAGAAAAAAACCAGTCAGGTCCATGAACAACAGCAGCAGTAGGAGAAATCACATCCAGTGCATTTTCACAAATTATTCACCGACCATTTTTAGACCTAGAAAGTTCTTTAAAGACCTGAACCCTTCATTTTCCATGTGAGGAAACATGTGCAATGCTGTGAAGTCATGGAGATAAAACGTTTCAGAGAGTCTGATCAGGGATTTTCAGCGGATTCATTTCCGGTCCAGTGACTTCCAGAAGGCAGCTGCTGCACCTGAAGATTTAAGCAGCAAGAATTCCATCAGAGGTTTTTAAACATTTAAGACATTTTATTTGCTTAAGGCAAAGAACAATTTTCTTTCTTTTTCTTTTTCACTTTTTTTTTTTTTTTTTTTGAGACAAGGTCTCACTCTGTCACCCAGACTGCAGTGCAGTGCCGTGATCATAGCTCACTGCAGCCTCGACCTCCCAGGCTTGAGCAATCCTCCCACCTCAGCCTCCCGAGTAGCTAGAACTACAGGCACATATCACCATGCCCGACTAATTATTGTAATTTTTGTAGGACAAGGTTTCACCATGTTGCCCAGGTTGGTCTCAAATTTCTGGGCTCCAGTGATCCACCTGTCTGGGCTTCCCAAAGTTCTGGGATTGCAGGCATGAGCCACAATGCATGGCCTTAATGTAGAAATTGCATCAACTTGCTTCCCACTTAGACTTTCATTAAAATGCATTAAAAAAGCATAGAAATAAAAAACCTTTTTGTCTAGACCTCTGATCACTGAAAAAAAAAAATTTTTTTAAGTATGTATTCATTCAGGCCAGGTACAGTGGCTCACACCTATAATCCCAGCATTTTGGGAGGTCAAAGTGGCTGGATCACCTGAGGTTAGAAGTTCGAGACCAGTCTGGCCAACATAGCAAAACCCCATCTCTACTAAAAATACAAAAATTAGCCAGATGTGGTACCACATGCCTATAATCCCAACTTCCTTGAAGGGGGAGGCAGGAGAATCTCTTGAACCCAGGAGATGGAGGTTGCAGTGAGCAGAGATTTTACCACTGCACTCCAGCCTAAGCAACAGAGCAAGACTGTGTCTCAAAAATATATATATGTATATATTCATTTTTATTTATACATATGTATATGTATCATGTGTATACATAAGCATGTGTATATACATATGTGTGCATGTATGTGTGTATATATCTATATGTGTATACATACACACACACACACACACACACACTGTTTTTGCCTTACACTTCACTCTCATTAGTTTAGCTTGCTTGCTCTAACTCTGAGCATGTGCTTCTTTTCATGGGTGGTTTAGCATTAATACTTTGGGAATTTGGGAATTGTGACAGACTCTTTCAGACTGTGAGGAGGGAGCTCGATATTCAATAGAAAAATAACCTATCAAATCACATTTTTCCTGATGTGCATTAACTTACAAAAATGTAAGTGGAGTTATTTCTCAAACTTGCTATCTGAGGGTAAAAAGGAACCCAAGGCAATGCCAGAATACTGACATTTAGGCACAACAGAGAGGTTGGGGTTCACCAAAGCCTTGTTACATGCACTTTGACGTTTTAATCCAAATTCTAAATGGAGTGACTTTTATGCATTTGGAGTCTCTTCTTGTCACTTGAGAATATCACAAACTAACATTTTCTGTTTTGATATAGTTTTCCTATTTAGATAAAATCAAGTTTATTTTCTTATTTATTTTATTTTTTGTTTTTTTAGGCAGAGTTTTACTCTGTTGACCAGGTTGGAGTGCAATGACATGATCTCAGCTCACTGCAACCTCTGCCTCCTGGGCTCTAGCTATCCTCCCTCCTCAGCCTCCCTCCTCAGCCTCCCCAGTAGAGCAACTACAGGTGCATACCACCATGCCCAGCTAATTTTTGTGTTTGTCAAAACAGGCTTTGCCATGTGTGCCCAGGCTGGTCTCAAACTCCTAGGTTCAAGTGGTCTACCAACCTGGGGCTCCCAAAGTGCTGGGATTACAGGTATGAGCCACTGTGCATAGCCAAAATGAATATAGTCATAAAGCACATATGTCAAAATTAATATTGTCAGAAAGCATATTGTTTCTGCAAAAGATTTCTCTGCAAAAGCATATTTCGCTTAAAAATCCAGGACTTTAGCTGACCCTAAGTCCAACCACCTAGGGACCCAAACCCTGGAAGCCAGGGCGTGGGAATTCCTTCTCAACTGTCTTTCCTCTCTGTTGACCTGGGAGACACAGTGCTGCAAGAAGATGACTGGCTCTTGGCTCAACAACACACATACAAAAGTAGCTCTTAAAGAAAAAATGGTGGAGGAGAACTCACTGGAAGGATGCTGAAGGCTCCCTGACCAGAGGGAGGCTGAAGGAGCCAAGTTGGAAGGAACCCAGTTAGCTGGAAAGGTCCAAGCAGTACCTCTGAGCAGAGACAGTCTAGAAAGCTGCCACCAGCACTGCACACCCTCTTGTTCTCACTATAGTTTCTATCCACCTTTTGTCATGAAACCGCCTTTGCAAAATTATGACTGAGACAGTGAAAGAGATCTAACTTAATCAACTCCATCTTGCTTCTAATCTTCAAGCTATCTTTGTTCATTCCTGGGCGTAGGCTGAACTAACTCTGGGAGAAACTTGGTTTATAGTTTAAAACAAAGACAATAACAGCCCTTTCCCAAAGCAGACCTCCTTCTTGCATGGGAACTAGATTGCCTTTGTAGGACTAATATTAGCCATAATGTTAGAAATTATGGCTTAGGAGTCATGCAGCTGAAAGCTATAAGATTCTGACCCTCTCTAAACTGCTCCTAAGATCAATGCTTGAGATATTTTGCAGACCCTGCGCTTGATGGATCAGCTGGCTCCGCCCAGATCAATAAACTGGCTCATCTGATCTTGTGGCCCCCACCCGGGAACTGACTCAGTGCAGGAAGACAGCTTCTAGTCCCTATGATTTCATCCCTAAACAATCAGCACTCCTGGCTCACTGACCTGGCTTCCCCCTACCCACCAAATTGTTCTTAAAAACTCTGCTCCCCAAATGCTCAGGGAAACTAATTTGAGTAATAATAAAATTCCAGTCTCCCACACAGCGGGCTCTGTATGAATTATTCTTTCTCTATTGCAGTGCCCGTGTGTTGATTACTCAGCTCTGTTGAGGCAATGGGCAAGGTGAACCCGCTGGGCAGTTAGTCATATGACACATAGACATAAGACACAAGCCTTATGTCAAGAACCCAGGCAGGAAATTCTAATGGCCAGACGAAGGCCACATGTTTAAGGCTTGGACTTCAGGGACAGGGAGCGGGAAGGTATACCATACCCACCTTCTTTTACTTTTTGGAGTACGAAAGGCACACTATCCCACCAAAAGTACAAAGAATGAAAGAGGCACCACAAATAGGCAGCATAGCTGGATACTGACCAACCAAAAAGCCTGAAAACATAAAACAAAACAACTGTCACTTGACTTTCTAAGGGAGTGGCACCAGGTTAAAGTGTCCTCCACCTGAGGCACAAGGGTATTCTTTTGTCTCTAAACTCAGGCGAGAACTCCCAACCCCTTCACACGCAGAACTGGAATCGGAGTGTGAGTAGATCTCCAACCCACATGGGAGACAGTCCTGAGAGTATGGGCTTTGAGCAAGCGGAATAGGGTTAGTCTGCTGGACTTGCAATGTATCAACCACATCACCATAAACAAGTCCTTTTACCTAACTGAACCCAGCTTCCTCCTCTGTTAAATGGAGCTGATAAATATTGTTCCCCTCTTGCACTGTTGTGAAGAGTCAATGAGATAATACATACCAAACGCTGTCCTTGGGACAGAGTTCACCTCAATCACTGCAGCTCTTTTCATTAACATGAGTCTCTCTGGTAGGGTATAAATGCAGTTCAGAATTCCCCCAAACACACTTTCATTTGGTTCATATTACCACTTCCCTAGAATTATGAGTTAAAAATTTCTGTGTTGTCATCCTGACGTGCTCACAGACATCACCCACTGATGCCACAATCAGCCTATCTCCTGTTCATTCGTCTCTCACTGTGCTACCCAAATAATTCCCCAGGAGAATACCTGGATATCACCTTCTTACAATGACCTCAGAATGGGTCCCAGGCTCCAATATATTTTATGCACTTTGCCTGAAACATATTTGAAACCAACATTTAAAATATCATCAGTTTATACAACAGGAATGTTTTTACTGATCTCTTTAATTCTAGAAAAGTTCTTCCCTTTCGGTTGAACATTAGCATGGTTTTGAGGCCTGGGAAAGAGCACTGCGGGGTATCTCAGTTGCTATCTGCTATTGCTGATATGCTGATGTGTATAAGGAGGAAAGCTCAAGTGTCTGGCTAAATGGAATGTGTAACTGCTGCCTGAAGAGGGGGAAAAATCAAGAAATCACCCAGTGACAGGGGCTGTCCAGTGAGCAAGTCAGCAAAGGGCAGAGACTGCAGAAAGTCAAGAGAGAGATCTATTATAATACCTAGGGCTTGTATCAATGATTCCAGAGCTGTTTCCAGCAGCTATTTCCTATGGATAAGCACTGGTGTCTTGGTTCATGGAAAGAAAGTGAAGCCTGACCCTGATGTGCAGTTTTCCAGCTTCCCTCCCAAAGCAGCAGTTGCTGGGCTGGAATCTCCAGGCCTGATTTCAGTGGGTAGAACGGCTCTAGAAGGGGACACCAAGACTCAGGCAGATGCAGTATCTGGGACATAGCTGCGACAGAAAGCGAGCTGGGCCATCCCAAAGGGGCATCTGTCTGCAGTGGCTGTTAGAGGCAGGTCCAGGTGCAAAGCTACAGGAAATTAAGGACACCCAAAGCATGAGTGAAAGATATTGTAATGAGGGCTGGGGTGGCATCTGGAGAGGCCACCTGAGCCACTGGGGCCCAGCAACAAGGATGTTTTATGAAGTGCTTAGGATGGGTTTGCTAAAACACCTTGCTGCGCAGAGACATAGAGGGCTTCGTGTTATAAAGCAGTTTTTCTTTGTCTGGCAAATTGTTCCTCCCTCAGCTGGACTTGGAAATCTACCTACTTAGAAAGCCAAACTAGGATCAAACAAATGCACAAAGGAGAGTCTGATGTCCTCTAGTACAACTGGTTGGCACAAGTTCAGGTGGCATCTGGAACACAAGAGTGACTTGAAGTCAGACCCTGGAGCAGCATCCGGGATGTGCCCTCAGCTTGTCCTGTGGAGCTCATACTCACTGAAAACTCCATCATCTTCTTGTGGGTTCAGGGACAGCCTGTCTCAACTGCAGAGGCCTCCAAATGCCGTAAAGAGTTAATATAAGCCAGATACACTCAAGCCTGTAATCCTAGCATTTTGGGAGGCTGAGGCAGGAGGGTCACTTGAGTCCAAGAGTTCAAGACCAGCCTGGGCAACATAGTGAGATCCTATATCTACAAAAAAATTTCTTTTTTAAGCCAGACATGGTGGTGGACACATGTAGTTCCAGCTAATCAGGAGGCTGAGTGGGAGTATGGCATGAGCCCAGGAGTTCAAGGCTGCCTTGAGCTGTGACTGTGCCACTGTACTCCCACCTGGACCAGAGAACAAATCCCTGTCTCTAAAATAAGTAAATGATAAAATAGAATTAATATGATTGTTAATTCTTAAAAATCCAGAGGGATCCTCCAGCTATGCTGGTAAGATCCTCCAGAATATACATCTGTGGGGGGTTTGGCAAAGAGACTCAGCATTGCAAACCACAGTGGAGAATCTCATGGCTCTGAGACAGTCACTGAGGGTCAAGGCTGTATTCTGCAGGTGCATTGGGGTATAGAAATGGATGCAAACACAGCTTTCATCAGTTGCATTCCTGACCTCATAGTTCCCTGACCTTTATCTCCCCTCCAGTCACATCCCCACATGGAACACTGAGACACCAACTGACCCTGAGGCACTGGGGACCGTCACACACATCAACACGTATAGACTCAGGTACCTATTCTTCAAAGCTGATCACGACCTGCTGTTGCTCATCTTCCTCTTCCCATTTTTATGTGTATTTATTTTGCAGCTGCCATAGTGTTTTGTTTACAATGCAGATAAACAAAGGGTCTATCTGTTTGAGAAGTGTGCTTCCTCTAAAATTATAAATTTTGAAAGAAGGCAAAAAAATAACAAGAGAATCAATTCAAGTAGAGCCACTCAAAGGCTAAGACCTGGATATGTTAAAACAGTATCAGGTCCTGCCCTGGCTCTCAGGATGCCAGTTCTGTGATTGCACTCCATGTCTGTGCTAGAACCCTCTTGCATTCCAGGAAATTATGAGTTAGAAAACCAAACAGGCATGGAATAAAGGCAATGTCCCCCCTAACACTGGGAAGGCCCTCAGGAGGCACATTTAGCTTGAAAAACTTGCCCAACCACTCAACCAATGCATGCCAGAGACTTCAAAACCAGTCCTGATCATGTTTAGGGCTCAGCACCTCGACTAGGAAACAGTCCTCTCAATTTCCTAAGAAAACTGGTTGAGTATCAACGCCTCCTCCTCACTTACGTGCTGACATTTTTCCTTAAGACGTTGAACCCCTCATTGAACAGACCGGCAAGTAATCACCAAGAATTATTTCAGGAACCCGTGTTTATTCATACACCTTCCTCTTTAGTTCGGAATGTTTTTAATCTTGTAAATCAGTAACCAACCAAGGTGATTGCTGCTGATTTTAAATACTTACGTTGTTTTTAATGCGTTTTACAGAGCTGGGATCTGATGAGTATACATGTAATAAAAACACATACTCTTATCTTTTTTTTTTTCTTAAACACATTTTCCTTGTACGATTTGGCAAAAAGACAGATAACTTATAGAGTAAGTTCTTTTGCTTTTTATATTTCTCCTGGCAGATTGCCAAACAGCATTTAGCAGCGTATTAATCAGGTAGAATGTAAGCTCCACAGACTACTGCATTTTCCTACTGCACCTGAGAACTCCAGTGGAAGTCTCAGAAACTCTTGTTGAGTCAGCAATCTATTTTCAATGGATAATGAATTCATGGATTGTATATTTTCACCTTCCACATCCAGGTAAAGGCTGAGACCACTAGCAGGACCTCCTAACCCTGGAAATGTGGCAAACAGAGAGCCATCGTGACTCTCTGGACACATTAGTGGGGAAATGTTGAATTCTCTCTTACTCATATTACATCTTAGAAACATCCACCAGCATTGCCTGTAGATTTGTAAGATGAGCAGAGTAATGAAAATGACATAATGTGATTCGTTATGTTCTCATTGGTGGTGACTTCTCACAGAGGTGGCAGGGCAAGTGAGGCAAATGAAGCTAAGCTGTTCAGGAAGGAAGGAAAAAAGGAAGGAAGGAAGGAAGGAAGGAAGGAAGGAAGGAAGGAAGGAAGGAAGCAAGGGGGAAGCAGGAAGGGAAGGAAGGAAGGAGGAAGGAAGGAAAAGAAGAAGGAAGGAAGGAAGGAAGGAAGGAAGGAAGGAAGGAAGGAAGGAAGGAAGGAAGGAAGGAAGGAAAGAAAGAAAGGAAAAAAGAAAAGAAGGAAGGAAGGAAGGAAGGAAGGAAGGAAGAAAAGAGGAAGGAAGGAAGGAAGGAAGGAAGGAAGGAAGGAAGGAAGGAAGGAAGGAAGGAAGGAAGGAAGGAAGGAAGGAAGGGAAATGGAATAAAATAATGACATGAATTTAGGATATTTCTGTGCAAGAAAATCCAAAAGGTCAATTTATTACATCTTTCATTATTAGATTTGATGCAGATCGGGAAATGCTATAAATTTAAAATAATCTTGCAGCTTTTCTCACTATGAGTATGTTAAGCTTTTAGGTCTTTCGAGGAGAGGGCTTATTCCTGCCTTGCCTGTTCTTCTTGGAGACTTTCTGTGTAATAAGCTAAACTTGTGAGTTACCAGACCTCAGTTACTCAAAAGGAAGGGAATGCTGATCCCCAAGGCACTGGGACCTGAAGCAATTGCTTCAAGGGCTGTGAAGTCATCAGCCTCACCTTCATGTAGGCACTAGTCTAGCACAACCTATGATATGCCCAGTTCGGGCAGGAATAACTCCAAAGAATATCCATCTTTTGATGGTCTTAAGACATCAGGAGAATTAGACTTCTCCACATGAGCAGTTTTTTTGTTTTTTGTTTTTTGGGTTTTTTTTTTTTTGAGACGGAATCTCTGTCTCCCAGGTGGGAGTACAGTGGCGCAATCTCAGCTCACTGCAAGCTCCGCCTCCCGGGTTCATGCCATTCTCCTGCCTCAGCCTCCCAAGTAGCTGGGACTACAGGCGCCCGCCACCACGCCCGGCTAATTTTTTGTATTTTTAGTAGAGACAGGGTTTCACCGTGTTAGCTAGGATGGTCTCGATCTCCTGACCTCGTGATCCGCCCGCCTCGGCCTCCCAAAGTGCTGGGATTACAGGCATGAGCCACTGCACCCGACCCACATGAGCATTTTTAAAAA